TATTATTAATATCCTTTTTTCTATTTTGCTAAACTATTTGACTTTTTTCTTCTTATATGACAGCTTTAAGTAATTTTTAAACTGTCTTTATGTGATTAGATTCTTTTCTTTATGTCTATAAGTTGGTTCAAATATAGCAAATTTTATTTATTTATTATGTTACTGCTTGTTATTTATAATTTGATGCTAATTAAGTCTTTTATTCTTATTTTATAGTCATATACTTTTTATAAATAGTTTTTTGCACTGATACTTATTTTTATCTTTTTTGCTTTGGCTATCATTTGACAAGCTAAATTATGCTTTTAATATTTTTTTTTTTGATCTTTTTCAAAATTCCAAATGATTTTTATTAAGTTTGCTTTTTGATACCCTTGAGTTATTCTAAGTCTTGTTAGATCACCTAAAGCATCTTTTCTATTAAGTCTTGTAAATAAACTACATATTTGTTTTGTTACTATTTCTTGACTTAGCAATTTGCAGTTTTCTATATTCTGTACTTAATTATATAATTGTTTGTAATTTTCATTATGTTGTACTTATATTTTGCTAAATATATTATAGGTTAGTAAATCTTGTTAATCATCTTTTCTAATATTTTTGTTAATTGCAAAAAGTATTTTAACTTTGGAATTATTATTGTATTATTTATATATAATTTAATTTATTATTATTTTTTTATATCTGAAGTCTTTAACTGTTTAGCTAACTATCTCTTTTGCTTTTTTGCTAATTAGTGACTCTTTTATTCTATTGTTTAGTCAAATTCTTAATGATTTTATAATTTTGTTTTTTGTCTCTTTTATGATTCTATTCTGTCTGAAAGTAATTTCTCTGTTTTCTTTTTTTCACCTAGAATTCATTATTATAAGTTTTGACTTAGCTCTATTTATTTTAATATTATTAGCTATAAAGTACTTCTTTATAATTTCAAGAGTTTTTAATAGTTATTTTTTGCTATTTATAATCTATATTGTATCATCTATATATGCAATTGCTGCTTATCTATGTTTTATAATATAATTAATACCTGTTTTTTTTAATATCTTTTGTTCTACTATGTAGTTTAGAAATTTATCTTCTTGAATTCTTTTCAATAATAAATTATAAAAAAGCCACCAAATTAGTGAAGAAATTACTTTTTCTTGATCTATTCTGTCTTCTACTATTATCTTTTCTGTTAAGTCATAAGCTGTGAACACTTTAAGTTACTATTTATAAAAAATATTAATAATGTATTCTATTGTTTTTTGTAGTATTTTGACTCTTTTAAGAGCCTATTCCAAGCTTTCTAATAGGACTAAGTCAAATATCTTCTTTATATCTTGTAAAAGTATTTATGTTTTTTTTATTTTTCTCTTATGTCTTTTTGATTATTATATTTAGTATATATGTAGTTTGACCCTTTAAGTATTTCTCTTTCTATAAAATATTTTGGCCAACCTTTCTGTTATTATTTTTGTATCTAACTTTCTAAAGCTATTGGTTTAATATTGTTCTGATTGTATCCTTAGTTTACATCTTTTGAAATTAAATAGATTTGTACAATTTTCTACTTCTTTGGTATTTTTTTTTTTCTAGAATCTGAAAATTTTTTGTAATTTTTTTCTTGCTTATTTTATTAAAATATAACTTATACCTAATAATCTTAAGGCTATATTGGCTTTAAGTTCTCTTAATATATCTTTTCATTCTTCTTTTTTTTTAGCTTTCTATACTAAGACTTATTAATCTATTCTTTTGAATTATACACTTCTTTCCACTTCTCAAACATTTTTTTTTAGCTTAGTTCTCTATTTTCTGAATTGATTTTTAAAATACTTTGTCAAATTATTTAGAACTGCCTTAGGCTTTATTGTTAGACTAACTTTTTCTCCTTTATTTTAAATTATAAATCTGTTAAGAATTATCTTTACTACTTCTTTTATTATTTTAATCTTTATTATTTTTAAGTTACTTTTATTTTTTTAATTAAATCTTGTCTTTTAAATCTAGATTAGAACTTATTTGCATAATTCATTGATTATATTTTCAAGTAAGTATTTTATAAATTAAGTATAAAGATATCAGTATTGTTTATATTAAAAGTACAAGAATATTAGTATTGCTCAAGGTTTAAGAATTTATATATGCAATTTTTTATAATTGTAATTTTTTATAATAATATTATTATATATAGTATTTATACTTCATAATTGGATCTCTTTTAGAAATTACTTATTTTAAATTTATATTTATACTTAGACTTTTTTATAAAACTTCATATCTAATTAATAACTTCAATAAATTATAATAGTAAAATTTAGAAAATATAACAACTTAGTAAAGTAAACAGATTGTCAACTCCTAAGTGCCAGATTTATTGTTCAAATTTTATAGATAGTAAAATTTGAAAATTATATCTGTATTATAGTAATTGTAGCTTGTCAATTAGTTGAACAAAAAAGATAATCTGTATTCTTAGAAACATCATCTTGAATGGAAGTTTGGGACATCTATATGAAGTGTAATGTTATACATATATAAAGAAATGTTAATAACTGGTATTACATAAGACTTTAGTGCAAACCTATAATAAAACTATCAGACACATAACATTAAAAAACTAAAATACAGAAACCCATTTGGAAATCTTGAATAAAAAAGTAACATAAACTTTTAACAGTATTACTAGTTATCAGAAGGCTTTAAAAAAGAATAACTAGGATGAATTAAATGATAATATGTGTAAAAAAACACATATCAACTAGACTACTGAAATTACCAAAGGAAAAAGATTTTAAAATACTATACTAAACTATCTGGATTAGTAGTTGTAAAGTCTTGTAAATTCAGAAGTAAGAAGTGGAAGTTAAAAAAGAAAGGTATTAAAATTCTAGTAAACTTTACAAAGGTATAGCAGTTTAATAGTTAGCCTTAACTGCAAGTGATAGTCTAGATCAAAGTAGTACTAAGTTAGCTATAAGTATGAGATACAGTAAACTTCAGTAGCTTAGTACAAAGTTAAATATAATTAGTAACCATAGCATATTTACAGTTAATCAGCAATTGATAGAGTAAAGGTAAATATAGAACTAGAGTATTTATATAGAGAATCTGCAGGTAGGTTCTAGGTATGATAGCTAGTGTAAAACCTTCAAGTAAACTACTTAAAATAGATAATAACTAAAGTTGTATAAGTAACTAGTTGTACACTCTTTCTATGATTGCTTTTGTAACTGTTGTACTTGATAGTTATATGCTAACAGATTATCAATAAACTTCTGAGTCACAAGTACTTACCTTAACATTAAAAAAAAAAGTAAAATTTAACTTAATCTTGCTTAAACCATTGATCTTGTCTGTTAAGAGTTTGAAAACTTGCTTACTAAGCTATAAAACTCAAATCCTTCTGCTATTTTTTAATTAGTTTGTTTTGGAACTTTTTATATTATATGTTTATTGTCATCTAAATTAGACTATTTTATTGCACATGTTTACTTTTTATTTGTTTGTTTTCATGTACTCAAAACAATTTACAGTAATAGAATCAATAAAAATTCTTTAATTTTTTCTAAAATTTTGCACACTATTGATAAATTTTTAATTTTTTTGTTATCTTTTCTTAACATAATATTTTTTTTATTTTTGGTAATTAATAAATACAACCTTTTATACTATTTTTTCTTTAAAATCTAAAGTATTGTTTTTTAATATTTTTTTATATTTTTTGCATTTTGTTTCTTAGGAATTTTTAGTTGAGAAACGTGCAAAAAAAGTTGTAATATTATTTTAACACAACTTAATTTTAAATTATATCCATTCAAATTTTATATACAATATATATAAATTAAGGTTGTTTAAAAATAATAAAACTTTTATTAATGATGATTAATAAAATCTTTTATTAAATTAATTTTAAAATAATAAATTAATAATTGATAGAATCTATAATAATTAATAAAATTTATGATAAAAACTATTGGTTAATAAAATTAAAAAAATCTTATACAACAAAACGAATACGAAAAAAGTCAGAAAGAAAACTATATTCAATAAAGTTGTTATAGAATAGTAAGATCATGCTATCATGTCTTCAATTGTGGTAAGTCTAGGACTTTAAATAAATTTTGATAAACTTTATCTGTAACTTGAAAACTTAACACAGATCAATTCTTAATACATTAAATTGATATTAACAATTTGTTGTAATAATTTTCTGATATTTAATCAAATGCTTGAAATTTATAAAATAGCAATTAATGAGAAAGTTTAATAATCTTAAAATCATTGAGTGTCAAAAAAAATCCCGACTTACAGTTAGTGATGAGAAAAATGCGTATATTATAATAACATGCGCATGAATACGCGTTAATGCACACGAAATGTTTCATGCGCATGATATCGCATAATAAAAAAAGGCAAAAAAAGAAAAACGATCGAGAGGAGAGAAATATTGATGGGATAAAATGCGCATGAAACCCATCTCTACTTATAGTGTAAATAAGAACTAAGATAAATGTCAAGGGACTTCCAACCTACAATATTTAAGAATGGTTTAATTTACATATTTAAGAGTGTTTAATTAATTAATAATATTCATGAAAAACGTCAATCTCTAATGTATAATCTTCAAGAATAGATAATTCATATAAGTATACGTGTAGATAATCTAACTTTGTGTAACTTGTTCAACTTAACTTTATTCAAAATGAGAAATGCCAAGAAAAAAATGTTCTTTGAATATTTACATTTAATCAAAATATCTTAAAAACCAAGTAATTGAGCAATTAAGATTTTAGCATCAATCGAATTGTCTCATTAAGACGATTAAAATGGTATTAAAATTATAAATATTAATTTACTGATTATAAAGATGTTTATTAAAATAAAAAATTCGATGATTAACATGTTTCTTGGTGTCACTCAAATACAAAAATAAGCATATCGTTTCAGAATGAATTCCTTCTCCCTTTTTACCAATTTGAATTGATTAAAAATGTGCATTTTTTTATTTTTAGCTTTAATTTTAACTATTAATATAAGCCAAGTCAGAAGTGGACAGGCTTTTAATAATTGTCTTATTGACCAAAATAAGATTGTCTATAATAACTTGCTCAATTATCCTTTTGTTGAAACCAGTGTGATATTTAAAATTTGTTGCAATACAACGCAATGTTATCCCTCTACTTCTTTAACCACTGGTTGTAATTCGATGGATACTGGAATTATGTGTAAAAAAATTGCTCAACCAGTATTTTGTCATCTTGACTTATGTGGCGGTATTGTTGGCGATACTCAAATAACTGGCAATACTACTTTTGGCGACTGTCCATTTGAAAACCTTAGTGTTGCAATAAATCATTTATCAACTATTTCTTATGTCAATATGATTGGCTTAGACAAAGGTTATGCTCATTTTACTTGTCCAAAAAACACTGCTTGCCAAGATTATATGTACAACTGGGATAATGGTGGCTGGACATTTTCCAATAATTATATTTCTATTTATCGTGATTCTTATAACATAACTAATAAATGTTATTTACAATGGCCTGCTTCTTTTCCGAGCAACACAACTACTTCAATTCAAGGCATTATACCTACAACTACAACTTCAGGAAATTCAATCACTACAACTATTTCGGATTCTAATAACTCCAAATTAATTGTTGGAGCAATTGTTGGTAGTGTTATTTTTTTAGTAATAGTTGAAATTGCTATTATAGTAACTCTTAAAATTATTAATCGGAACAAGACACTAATAATACCCTAAAGGAGTTAGAGATGTAATAATATAGTTCTGTTATCCAGTATTGTGTCGTTGGTCTTTAGGGAACTGTGAAGTAAATGTTTATTATATTACAGTATGATTGTTATTCTAATTTTGAATTATAAGCCTTTTATTTGTTAGTGCTGAAAGGAGTAAAGTGAAAGTCTTCGAGTCTAAAATCATCATTTCACACCAACTGATCTAATTTAGATTCAGCATCCAGAAATTGAATAGAAACTAGCTTACTTAAATCTTAGGTTAAAATATATTAGTTACCAATGTTTTCTTCTTAATCAAAAGTGTTACTCATAACTTTTTCATTAATTCTTCAAGTTTTAACTCTTTAAGCTTCTTAAATTTCACAAAAATACTATGATTAAAGAAGAATTAACTGCGCATAGCGTATGATAAAAATATTAAAGTTAAAAAACTAAAAAATAATCTACATAATAATCTACATAATAACCTACATTTTTTATCATAGTGAGTGTTATATGCAGTACTAAGCGGTTCTAGAATTTTTCTTTTTAATGAAGCAACAACGGAAAAACTTTAATCGTAGAACAGTGAAATCATATTATCTATGTTTAGAGAATCGGCATATTATAGACCTGTGAAATGAAACTTTTCTTCACCATACTTATCATGTAAAAAAAAGCTTGTTATATTTTAATATTTCATGTCAAAAATATATTATATCAAACTTATACATTGGAAATTGAGGTTGAATCAAAAGAACTGTCATCGGGCTTTCAATTTTTCTTGTCCCGGACGCAATCAATAAGAAATCAAATAGGTTGAGTCCGGCACAAAATATAATTGAAACCCGATGACAGGTTTTCAATTGACAGCACTCGTATGATGGTTTTTTGTGGATTGGATCGAATGATAAAACGGAAATCAAAACATAGCATCATCAAGAATCTGCAGATGAAGCTTATAATCTCGAATATTACTACAGTATAAAGATTGAAAATCTTCTGATGTCGGCCATGTAGGCGGAATATAAAGTGATCTGGGATCACGCTGTCGAAATGACATAAGTACAGTTAAGGATTAAAGGACGGTGACTGAATGGAATCTGTGAGTGGCGTTTCAAATGGTAAAAATAGCCTTGGAGATTATGGTTGAGATAGAACTGGTGGTGAAAAAATGAAAACAAAGAATTCATTTAGTGACAGTAACAGTTTTAATGCTAGGTGCTAGGGTTTAGCAGTGAGATATGTTAAACAGCATTTAGATTAAAACAAGCAGGTGAATATGTATTATTGTATATATTATTAATTTTGTTTTATTTTGTTATTTTTGCGATTGAAGTTAACATCTTGAAGTTGTAACTTCGAGCTCCTGAAGTTATACCTGCTTAAAATTACTTCAAGCAACTTCTCACAGATGCCAACTTCAGGCACGTCAAATACGCATAAAATTATGTTAAATTAATTTTTCTAATTAGCATGGATACTATTAGAAAATATTATCAGTCATTGCTTTAAAGAAGATTAATTACAACGAATTCAACAGGTAAAATGATTCCAGATGCACACTAAAAAAGCATATTTAAGAGAATATCTAGATGAGAGTGATGAAATGAATATCATAGAAAACTCCAAAGAGAGGTACGTAACGTCATATCGAGTCCCAACTCGTCGATTATAATGTATGTAAGTTTCAAATTTCGAAATTCATTTTCCATTTAATTTTTCAAATGATACACATTGAAAAAAAGAATTGACCAAAGTAAAAACATAATAAGATTTTATAGCGTTACAAAAGGTTACATTTATTATTCCTATTTAAAACATCCAAATTCTCACATCTATTTATTATTGGAACTGAGGATTAGAGCTGAAATTTATCATTCACTTTGTCACCTTCTAAGAATTATTATTCTATAATACTTCAGCAATGCGATAGTGAAATCTAAGGTATATTTAAAAAATAATTCTCATAAATAGATTGAACTTTTCAATAAAAATAACTACAGATATTGCCAATGACTTAAAATATTCATGGAGCAATTATTGTTTATCGTACTGATGAGTATTTAATTTTATTAAAATTGGCAAAATATAATCAGGTTAGTATTGAATATTTTTGAACCTAGTTTAGTTGCCGGAGAATATAAAAAAATTTTGTTACACTCTCTTAATTATTATTGCGTGTTCACAAATTTCTACGTAAAATATTATAATAGAGTCCAAAAAACATATTGGAACATGATGGTTCATTCTCGATCATCTTGAAGAGCCTACTCCCGATCTTGCAGAAGAATAACCGGTCCTGTGGATAATATTTATATAGATAGATCCTGATATATTTGCCTTGAAAAAAATGCTTTAGCATCGAAGAAATAAGCTTGTTTAATTATTACTAAAGGAGAGTATCAAACCCAAGGTCTCTTCCTTACTCAAAACGAAACATTCATTGGAAGAAATATAAAAAAATCAAGAATTTTGGTAAATAATATGTAAAATTGAAAGTTATCAAAGAAAAATCGAAATTTTGATTTAGGATATAAATCTGGAATTTACTTTAGAAAAAGGCAATTTGAAAGATTAGGAAATGTTGTTTTCTGATACCTTCCCGCTGTAATAAACATCAGCAAGTTGTTTTTTTATAAACTTTATAAAGTTATATAAATATTATATAAAATTTTTATATAGGTCTACAAACCCAATGTAGACTTATATAATAAGAATTTTTACATGTAAACTACGTAATTTTTATATATAATGTTATTTATTATTCATATAAATATAAAATCTAAGCAAATTTTATTTATATCTATATAAAAATAATTTAATTTCAGCTATTTCTCAAAAGTGACCAAGGTAATCACCGATCGATGCACTAAGTAAAGATGTTCAGTATGCTCGAAAACCTTCCCCAAACCCTTTAAATCTAATATTAGCTTAATATTTAAGTTAAAATTTTTTTGCTATTTTATATAATTCTACGTAGAAATATAATGCAAAGGATGAACAAGATTGAGTTTAATATTTTTTGATTTAGGTCACTTTAATGATGAAGGTTGTTATAATGCTGGGGGGTTATATTTTAAAAGAATTGTCATTTTTGCACGATGTGATGTAGAAGAGTTTTACTATCTTTCTTAAGGAAGCAAATTCCGGGCAAACCTTCAAAAGTGTTGAGAAAATTCGAAAAGCCATTAGTCTCATGATTCGTCTGTGGTGTGTTATGAAGACTTGCTTAAGCATGTTAGTCAGGCTTTACATATTGCTAAACGGCAAGATATGAATCGGTAAAAATCAGATAGTAAGTTCTGAAAGGAATTTCAAATTTCAATTAACGCTAAAACTTCTCATTATCTTAATATTTTTTTCGAAATCTATATATTTTCCTATTAATAAAAAATTCATACAACATAATGGACTGCACTCCGTAAAAACGAGCTGCCAGTAATATTTCAATTGATCTCGAAAGACACGGTCAAAATTGGGATAACTATTTTTCATAAATGTATAGTTTGTTGATAAATCTCGTTTCACGACAGTTAAGGTTAACTTTATTTAAAGTTATGGTTAGTCTAACTTAATGTTGTTTAGAGTCGGGAAATAGCTATCAATGAAATGGGATGGATTCATAATTAGTACAGTAATAATAATTGCGTTAAATTGGTGTAGCATTTGTCCATTAGAATAATAATAATAATAGACGAAGACGCGCAGCTAGTTCGTGCTCCAACGCTTGGTTGTCACCGAATAAGACTACACCCCGCAAATTTAGTAATTACCGAGTGGAATTATTATATTTCAATTTAAATTAGTCTTGAGTTAAACAAAAGGTATCATATAGCCTACACACTTTCAGTGCTCAAAAACTCATTGAGTTCTACGCATATGATAATTTAATTGTATCCAGAGAGGTAAAAGACATTAATTCCTTTGAGAATTGGGCATTCTGGTACATTCACAATTTTTATTCAGGGAAGAACGAGTACAAAGTACCATAATTAAGATGCATTAAAAATCTATTGTCTAATAGAAAATTAATTCTCGTATTATCATAATTTTGACAGGCATAGGATAGAATTTACTATTACGTAATAATCGGAAAACAAATGTCAACTTCTCTGATCCTGATTTTTAGTTGGCTGACATACGTATGTTGAACAATCATGTGTGAAATCGTATTAAACCGCACCTATAAGGTGGAAGAAATATATTAGACGTGGTATAACCCATTTCTCCACCTTATAAGTGTGTCACCTTTTCAAAAACCTTAAAAACATCGGGATCTAGTGATTAGAATTTAGAGGCGCAGGCGAATCGTTCCAATTATGTCACAATGATGTTACGCTTAAGCCGTCTAGCTAAAGCTTATGTCGGGCTGAAACTTTTGAGTTGGGTTTATTAGAATCGTCTCACCAAGACGAATATTTTGGTAGTAAAATCTCATAGGCAGAAGTTTATCTGATTTGCTAATAAAATCAATTTACTTTTACATTATTTATACAGTTTAGAGTACTTTTTAAAAACGAAAACTAATCATAATAAAAAAGGCTGTATATAAGGTTTCATTAGAGCTGTAGGATTCGATAATCAAAAATATAAGATCTAATCCTCGTCCGTTTAAAAAAGTTAGTATAACAATAACTTCTCAAAACCTGATAAAATCAACTTATTACTAAGTTAATTTTTTTAAACGGACGAGAATTAGATCTTATTTTTGACTATGGAGTTCTATAGCTCTAATGAAACCTAGTAATTATATCAGTGTCTGTTTTGATATTGTCAAACCTGACTGGATTTTTGTGACAGTTGAGTATACTATTAATTATAAATTTAGGATTGAATATAAATTTATCACATTTTTTAGAAATATTATGTTTAATTTATTGTTAAATTTCTTTAATGTTTTCAATAATACAGGCACAATACGTATATTGCTTTCTATTTATTATTACAGATGAATATCTAATTTGCTAAAGCATTATATTCAGAAGATAACTGTAGAATGTTTAGCTAAAGAGTATTATTAAGATGGATAATAGCATTATTGTGTTGAGTTGGGATACATGATTGGTTTCTGAGTAATACTTTAACTTGTCGAATTATGTTGTCTAGTTTTTAAAAATAATGATGTAATAAAGATGGTTTAAATAAGAATATATAAAAGAGAGTCAATAAAAAAGACAAATCATTTTTAGTAATTTTGTTTTAATTTTTAAATTAAGATATCTTAACAATAATTTAATTAAATTTAATAAAATTTTTTTATTTTAATTTTAGAATTTTATAAAATTAAAATAAACCAATTTTTATCAATTTGATTAGATAACAGAAATATAAAAAAATATATATGAGGGGACCTATAGCAAAAGGTGGCTTTAGGAAAATCATGTTCAAAATTGGTATATAACTAATATAATATTTATCAAAATAATTAACTCAAATCATACATTTTTTTATTAATATAAAAATTAATTATTGTCGCGGCTGATACTGGAAATTTTAAATCTTTTAATATGAAATTTTCAAAAATTTTTGGGATGTATTTTTTAGCTTTTTTTTTTACCGTTAGGTTAGGATTTAGGGTTAGTTTTGATAATAAAAGAGCATAGATGGATTTTGACAGGGTTTATATTTTAAATCGGGGTCCCTAATTTCCAGCATCAGCCGCGACAATTATTTTTAAACAACCCATAATAACTCTCAATTTTGCTTATAAAACTATCTTTGTGTTCTAATGAAACAATTCCTTACGCAATTTAAATATATGCTAATCTTTAATTCTAATTCTAATAATAACTATAACTCTAACCCTAATATAAGTAAATTTTAAATTTTTTATTTAATTTTGATAATGATCTTCTGTTAAAAATTATAGAAAAGTAACCATAGTTAAAATTTTCTAAGCTTTGATAAGGTTTTTGATATCTGCTAATTAAAAATGGAAAACTTTATAAATTAATTTTGCAGATTCGAAGTTTAAAAAAAATTTATATATGGTTACGGTAAAATTTTTAAATGTTGAATAAAGGTTTTTTGGTAACAATTTGATGAAAAAAAATTAAATGAATTTTACAAAATTTTAATTCAACGGAAAAAAGAATCAAACTTCGGTAGTAGGTTAAACAGCAGACATCGTCTAAGAAATCATATTTTATATTTGAACGAAAAATATTCGGTAAAATTTTTGTTCTCTTACTAATTTTAAAACCTGACACTAATAAAAATAACATGTCACAATGAAATGACTATTTAAATTTTTCAAAAAATCAATATAATTTAATTCATTTATAAATGTATAATACAAATAACCTTGCGAATACATTTAAAATAAAAGTTGAAATTTCCATTACTATGTAAATGAAGATTAGTAATGTTTTTCAATAAGTCGAACAAAAAAAATTTTTTTCAACCCAAAAGTCCAGATTTAAGTGCTTTCTTTGAACAGAACTATAAATATTGTATGATAACTAAAATGTTTAAATGAAAATCTAATATTATACGTAGCTAATAAAGAAAAGAAGAAAATAAATCTAACAAAATTATAATATTTCTTAATGTAAGGGGTAAACAATGATAATACCTATATGTAATTAAGTATTTGAAGTTCTATCAGAAGTAAAAAATAAAATCTATTAAATACTTACGCATGAATGTTAGTATAAATCTGATAAAATTATGTTGATTATTATTTCTTTTTTTTTCTTTTTTTTTTTGTTAAATACTATGAATTTTAATAAATTAATACTAAATTTGATGAGAGACCAGTTTAATGAACCTCTTGAATAATAAACTTTTGTACTACGCATTTTCAAGCGGTATTTCCAAGAGGTATATATGTAGTTTTATCAGTTTCAATCCATTCACTCTCTAATCTAAAAAATATCCATAGCCAACGCCTAGTAACTTCCAAACATTCCATTAAAAACACGCTAGGTTCCAAATAATTAATAATATGTAAGTGCGAAGAAAGTTTTAGTGACCATGTGAATCGAAGTAAAAAGTTAAGAAATATGGCAATATAATATAAGGACTTTTCGAAGGTCAAGTTTGAACGAAGTTTAAAACTGGGAACCAATAAATAATGAGGAGATGCTGGAGTGAAAATTGCGAGCTTAAAAAACAAAAGATAAATGTAAGTAATTTTTTTTTTATAAAAAAAAAAATCTAATTAAAAGATAGAAATAATATGATATTACCTTCCAGTCTTTTGCAACATCCCAATAAAAAGAGTATATTGAATTAACTGCAACGGAAATAATCCTAAAAAATTCCACACTATAGATTGTTATAATTTTAAATAATCAAATCAAAACTTCAAAAAATATTTACCATAAATCAAATATGATTGATGGAGTAATCCAACTGGCCGATACATCAACTTCATCACTTCTGAATTTATACCATTTTTGTAATGCGGAAAACAATATTACGGGGAAAGCAGAACAATACTTGAGGGCATTAAATAAATGTTCGCGGTTTGGTTTTTTAGGATCTTTGGGATTTAGGTACTCTGCGATACACTGTTTGAATCGAATAAAGTACGGAAAGCTTTTATAATAGCATTTGGCCAGGGACGCTGAATATCAGATACAAGTTTTAATAGATCATAAAACAACATACCGTAAAACTAAAATTTAAAGCTTACCTTGTGATTAAAGGAGCGAACACATAGGCATAATATTTATTTCCTATATCTTCTTGGATTGCACCATAAATAAACAAAATACACATAGTCTTATACAAATCGCCAAATACTTTTGCATAGCTTGTCATTATATCAGCCAATATTTTGTCACAAAGATAAACTTCCGTATCGAGCCCAGAAAATACTACCCTTTGAAAACATCTATTAATAAATAATAATAAAATTTATGAGTATGACGGTTTTGTGACATCAGATGTAGTCGAACATTTACCTAATAAACCGCATTCTTTCATTTTTACATAAAACGTTGAACGGGCATAGCATAATGAGAAAGATGAATAAATAACAAAATAATATTATCGAAGTTCGTCCAGTTCGCCAAAATGCAAATATATTCAATGAAACCCATATGGTCATAAATAGAGCCAACTTATAAATGGGTTTATAATAAGGATATTTTTTTTTGTCACCAGTTAAGATAGCATGTGCGTCTATAGATGCCCATGAAAGTATTTGCAGATTAGTACCCCAAGCCCAAAGTCCAGCAGTTGTAATTATGAGAACTCTACAAGGTAAAGGAAAACTACTTGAAAAGGACCACTCTTGAATGTTCTGAGTGGTCATCCTGATTTTTTTTCAATGTTTTTTTTATAATGTATTGCGGATTTGAAAGTTTTTAAACAGAGTTTAAATTTGGCCATGCACATGTCATACGTAAAAAATTAGTGCTTTTATTGGTTTTTAGTTTTACAAATTTGGGCAATCGCGTGTTTGACAAATTTAAAGGCGCTGAAGCCAGTACATCACGAAATTACCCGATATTACTGTATTAACTAAAATTCGTTAGAGTTAGGAATCTGATTGGCCCGAGCAATCTCGTGATGTACCCTGCTTTGGCCCAGGGGATCGCTAAAGTGGTACATACGTACGTATATCAAAAATATGCAGTAAAGTACATCATATAATTTATGCAAAATATTTATATAGCATTTCATTGATTTACAAAAAAAGCAGAGATAGATTAAAAAACTTTCTTCACTGAAAAGACTCCTAATTACAGAGTCACTCAACCAAATTTTTCCGACGATTGGCTTGTTTTAGGATTACGTAGTAATCTCTTTAACCTTTTTCAAAAATTAGTTATATACATATTAAATACAAGTGACATTAAAAAATTTTTTTAAGTGAAGCGACTTGGAGAAAATTTTCTTTTCTTTATATGTTCGAGTAATTTTATATACATAATGGCTAGAAGCTAACTTAAGAAATGACTTTTTACTGAATTATTTTCGAAAAATTTAAATAATGCACCGACATCCTATTAATACTATTGTCAAGTTTTGGGTTGCGTTAGGGTCAAGTCTAGGGTTAGTGAAATTTATTTCACGGTGTGACCATCCGGGCATGTGATTTATGTGACTATCAGTAAAAATTTTTTGTATTACGTATACAAAATCTTTATTGTGTTATTGCAAAAATTTGCATTAAATTTGTAATTAATAACTAAATTTGCGTTAATTTGTAATTAATAACCAAATTTGTATTAATTTGCAATATCATATTTGTCATTTATAAATTTGTTATTCATTTATTAAATATATAATAGTGAGAATTTTTAAAGATTTTTTATTAAATTATGTTATTTGTTTTGTGTAAATATTATTATACGTATGCTGAAAAATTACATTCAGCATTACGTGAAGAAATAAGTAACCAGATATAATCTAATGCAATTGAACTTAAAAAAGGAAAAGTTGATATTTTTTTCAAAAGTATCTAAATTATTGGGTAATTTTTATTAACTAAATTTAAATTATGATGTAAAGACTATTTTTGAAGTAAAATAACTAAAGGGTTTGTTAATTTAGGGATTTGTTTTGCATATTTAAAATTATTACAATTATTAATTGATAATTAAGAAAAACAGAAATCAAAAAGCTTTGAAAAGCAAGTATAAAAGATGATATAAAAAATAATTATTAAATTTTTACTTTGTAATTTTAAAAGATATTTGAAAATTTTATTTAAAAAAAAAGATCTGTATTAAGTTTTGAATAATATCTATAACAGGTTTTTTATAATTTGTGTTTGTAATTTTGTTATTTAAACATAACTTAAAATTATTTAATTTTTTTAAATTAATGAAAATATTATTTTTGATTCTTTTAAAAAAATTAAAATAATTTATAAATTTAGATTTATATAATTTTTTAAAAAAACTAAAATAAATTTCTATTAGATTATTATTATTATTATTATTATTATTATTATTATTATTTGTTTTTTAAAATGCCAAAGTAGAAACTTTATTAGATAATATAAAAATTGTATTAAAAATTCTAAACTACATTTATGCTACTTATTTTAAAACACTCAATATAATATTATACTTTTATTTTTATATAACACTATTATTAACTATTTCAAATTAATTTTAAGTATAAAAAGGTTAGAAAAAACCTAAGATGATAGTTTTGACATTTAGTAAATATAATTAGTAAGTAAATAGTTTAAAAATAATTAGTTTTTAATAGATATTATAAGATCAATAATAGATGTATTAAAGGTATTTAATATTGATTAAAAAGAAAGAGCTAAAGAGTATATTTTTAAACATTTAGATCTGTTAGTTATATTGTGAGCTTTTGTTCATTATTGTTAAAAAATATTATATAATAATTATATTTATTAATAAAACTAGTTAAAAAAAGCATTTGATAAAGTTAAAAAAAAAGATAATATTGTTTTATAAAGAAGTATTTTAATATAATCATATAATAATATAGAATAGAGGCCTTAAATAAGATTTAGAAAATAAAAATATAGTAAAATATTAAAATGATAAAATAATATACTATAAATTGTACTTGTAACTTTAGTAAAAATATATAATTATTGTAATTGGAATTTAAAAAATTTGTTAAAGATTGAAAAAAAACTGTAACGCTTTCTACAAATCATTTGTACCAAATTTTTGCTAAAAATATTTAATTATTTCTATTTATTTTATTAAGTTAATCTTACTTTTGCTCTTAAGTAAACTTGTTTAGAACACTTTTTTACTTCTAAGTAATTAAGTTTCAAGCTTTAACAATATCTGACTGCTAAGAAAAGTTACAAAAACCAGAATTTTAAATTTTGTTTATTTTTTTGAAATTTTAATAATTAAATATACTTTCTATCTTAGTAATACTTTGTTCAGCTCATTAAAATGAACATATATATATATATATTATCAAAAATGAATTAAAGCTCATTAAGATATTATCAAAAAAACAAAACCAAAACCTGTCTTTATAGGATTTTTTAAAGACAAGTTTAGAAAACTTGTTGGATTGCTTTAGAAATTTTATTTTTCTAACATTTATTAAAATTTTTTAAACATCTAATTATTTTTTCCAATAGTTTCACACTTTTTAGTTCTTTTCTAAACAGTCTAAAAACTCTTAAATCTAATAAATTTTTTTAAAAACCTTAGATTTACAAATACTTTAACAAATTTTAACATTACAAAATTATTTAATACTCATAGTTACACAAAATGCCTACCTTAGTAATAAACACACCTAATATTATCGACCTTGACTACTTCTACCAAAAATGTTCTAAAAGCTTTGATATTGGAATTTATAAAGACAATATAAATACATCACATCTTATTTTTTCTAACAAACAACCTAGTAGTGTATAACAACTAAACTCAGAAATGCTATTAAAACTAGTCACTTTTTCAAGATATCAACAACAAGTTCTATTGTTATTTGTTTTTATAAAAAATTTTATATACACTTTATTTTAGCAACAAACCAAACATATAATGAAAATGAAATAATTAATGTAATTAAAAAAACTAAAAATAAAAAATCTCTTGTATACAACATTATAAATTTTACTAAATTCATTTTACCATTATCTAGCTTATCTTCTTCATCTATTATACTTCAATATATATATGCTATATGCAATCTACCTATTAACTATAAAGTAACTAACAACTAATACTACTTAGTATCTAACTCTATCTTATTTAATAACAAACCTCAATATAAATTATGTATTAATCTCAATTTAATAATAACAAAGTACTTCTATATCTCAACAAAGCATATTTATATCTCAACAAAGTTTATATACTACTCTTATTCAAAAAATTTAATAATTATTTTCTAAATACAGAAACCTATTATCATTTCAACTTAATCCCTTAACTCTAATAGAAAAAAACACAAACAATACTAATAATAATATAGATATTGATAATATTTTATCTAGTAGTCAAAATAACAACAACAATCGCAACAACAAAACAATTAATATCAATAATAACAAAAGCTACTTAAACAAACTCAGTTAGAACAACAACAACAACAACAACAACAAAAACAACTCTTAAATAAACAATAATCTAATATCTTTAGCAATCAAAATAATATTAAAGCTAATCCAACATTTGACTAACTTATCAACTTTTCTATCTCTAAAACAATGAAATCTAAAATCCAACTTGAAACAAATTTCTTTAGAAAAATATTCAATCTTTTTAAACAGCACTTATATGACTTCTATTTTGGCAAGGAAATTAAACCCAAAATTGACAATCATAAGTACTTAAATCTAGCTTCTGCTATATTATTCATATAATAGCAGAAAGTAAACCTAAATTTCTTATTGAATTTATTTAACAAAATAATCTTAAAACTAATAAAACTATTATTATTCTTTTCAACATTCTTGAAAATAATTTCAAAAAACTAATTCTAACTTTTATAACAGTTTTTTTATAAAGCTTAATTATTCAAAAATCTTTGCCTCATCTGTAACTATTCCACCTTATACAAACCAAAACAGATTACAACTTTGTATTAATTTTGCACATATTTATCTATACCTCTTTAATAATTATCAAGTAATTAATTATGTTAAATTTGCTAAAGACTTTAAACTTTAATCTAAAAGATTTACAATCTCATTAGAAATAACTGATATTGATCAAGATAAGCAATATCTTACAATCAAATCAGATAGCAAATTTAATATTTATCTCAAATTCAATATTCCTAAAACACTATTTCTTTAAAAATTAAATATATCATTTTTTAAAAACTTATTAGACTATTTTAAACAATGGTTTAAACAATTCTTTCTCTTATATAACTAACAATTTACTGAGTTTCTTGATGAAACTAAGATTGTTAATTCACTTAAATTTCAATTCTAGAGCTGTTAATTGGTCCCAATCAATCCTAATTGGTCCTGAGATAATTTAATAAATTACTAGTCCCAGAGAAGTATAATTGCTTATATCTAATAAGTAACTTATCTTGAAAACTTCCTGGGAAAAAACTTTATTAATAACTCTTTTAAAACAAATCATCTTAAAAACTGGTAATTTGCTTGGGACCAATGCTGATCAAATCAGTCCTAGGACTGATTTGATTAGCATCAGTCTCAAGCAAGTTACCAGTTTTTAAGATAATTTGTTTTAAAAGAGTTATTAATAAAGTTTTTTCCCAGGAAGTTTTCAAGATAAGTTACTTATTAGATATAAGCAATTATACTTCTCTGGGACTAGTAATTTATTAAATTATCTCAGGACCAATTAGGATTGATTGGGACCAATTAAC